AGTGTGAGTTTTTGAGGAAGTCTCGGACGAAACGCTCGTTTTGGAGACTTGACGAGTGAATTTTGTCCTGCGAAACGCTCGTTTTGGAGACTTGACGTGCAACTTGTGGAGGAAGTCTCGTATGAAACTCTCGTTTTGTAGACTTGAAAGACTTTTGGAGGAAGCTTGAAGTCTCGTACGAAATGCTTGTTTTGCCGACTTCAAGTGTGAGTTTTGAGGAAGTCTCGTACGAAACGCTCGTTTGGAGACTTGACGTGATTTTTGGGAGAAGTCTCGTATGGAACCCTCGTTTTGCAGACTTGACAGGTGACTTTTGGTGGAAGCCTCGCACGAAACGCTTGTTTTGGAGACTGTAGTAGTGCCCCACAAGACTGTCCTACAGAGTGCTACAAGAGTGTACAAGAGTGTCCCACAAGAGTGTCCGACAAGAGTGCGCTACAAGAGTGTCCCACAAGAGTGTCCTACAAGAATGTCCCACAAGAGTGTCCTACATCATGGTTCGCAGGAGCGTCCCACAAGAATGCCATACAAGAGTGTCCCAAAAGAGTGACCCACAAGAGTGTCTTACAAGAGTGTTCCGCAAGAGTGTCCCACAAGAGTGTCCCGCAAGACTGTTCCACAAGAGTGTCCCGCCGGAGTTTCCTAGAAGAGTGTCCCACAAAAGTGTCCTACAAGTGTGTCCCGCAAGAGTGTCTTGCAACTATGTCCTACAAGGGTGTCCTACAAGAGTTTTCTACAAGAGTGTCCCACCAGAGTGACCTACAAGAGCTTCCTACAAGGGAGTCCCGCAAGAGTGTCGTACAAGAGTGTTTGGCAAGAGTGTCCCACAAGAGTGCACTGTCCCACAAGAGAGTCCTACAAGAGTGTTCCGCAAGAGTGCTCCACAAGAGTGTCCCACAAGAGTGTCCTACGAGAGTGTCCCACAAGAGCGACGTACAAGAGTGTCCCACAAGGGTGTCCGACAAGAGTTTTTCGCAAGAGTGTCCGACGAGAGTGTTCCGCAAGGGTGTCCCGGTGTCCCACAAAAGTGTGTCCCACGAGACTCCTACAAGAGCGTTCCGCAAGAGTGTTCCACAAGAGTGTCCTACAAGAATGTCCGACAAGAGTGTCCCACAAAAGTGTCCGACAAGAGTGTCCCACAAGAGTGCTTGTAGGAGTGTTCTGCACGAGTGTCCCACAAGAGTGAGTGTCATACAAGGTGTCCCACAAGAGTGCACAAGAGTGTGCCACAAAGGTTTCCGAAAAGAATGTGTCCGACAAGAGTGTCCCACAAGAGTGTCCTACAAGAGTGTTCTGCAAGAGTGTCCCACAAGAGTGAGCGTCGTACAAGGTGTCCCACAAGAGTGCACAAGAGTGTGCCACAAAGGTTTCCCAACAGAATGTTTCCTACAAGAGCGTCCCGCAAAAGTGTCTCTTACAAGAGCGTGAAAAATTGTTTGGGTTTTTGTTTTCGAGTATAGTAATCTCCTGAAAGATGGAATATTGTTTTGCGAATGACAAAGAGATGGAATAATCGCGATCACCCTGAGGGCAACAGAGAGATGGAATAATCAAGAAACAACCAATCAAGAGATGGAATAGTCAAGACCCAGAATGAGTCAAGAGAAGAACGAGGAAAGAACGACATGCTGCCGACTGCGGCAATTTTTTCTTTACTGCAACCCCAATGATCAATGGCCGGTCAATCTTGACCCTGTGCAATGTGATGGGATTGTGGAGGCAAACCAACAAAACGCACAACAAACAAACCACGAGCATATTCTATCGCCTGCTGAGTGCTATTTCATGCTATTTTGAAAGCAAATTGCTATAAAATCAGGTCGTCCCCTCCATATCAGCAGAGGCAATCCCTGCTTTCTGGCAACGGGCTTTTGGAGTTGCGGTTTCAAAAAACAAGTCATTAGGCCTTAGGGCTCCTCATTGTGAACATATTCTATCTCTTACTGCTTCCTATTTCCAAAGTCAAATTGCTACCATATAATCAGGTCGCCCTCCCCATATCAGCAGAGGAACGACTATGGTCGTTCAGCTGGACCAAGTACAGTGAACCAAATATTCTATCTCAACCCACCTGTGGGAAGATAAAAAGCTGGAATATTTGTCAATCGCATTTTACGAATGAAAAATATTCTATCTTTCGGAAGTTCACTATACGTGTTTGCATTCGGGTTCGTGGGTTCCATCTTGTTTTACATGTCAAAATTTTACCCCAGACATCCCACCCAAACTGCGCAGCAGTATGGGGCTGGCTGGTTTGAGAAGCCCAGATTTGACGGCCCACGGTCGGCCCTCGGTCCATCGTACGGCTCGATCGGCCCAAGGCGACAAGTGCTTCGAGGCGAGAGAAGTTTGTGGGAGAGGTTCGATTGGTGACAAACATGTTTCAGTTCTTCTACCTTGTAGCTCAGAAACTCCAATTGAACACATAAGGACCGTAAGGAATGCACAGACTTATGATTTTGTGTACGGAACTGAAAGCGGTAGCCACACGCCAGCCTAAGTAGACCGCCTGAGGTTCCAGGTGGTAATTGGAAGTTTGAGGCCTCCAAAACATAAATACGAGAGCGAGCGGCGGCGACAGGGTGACGACGGGTCGTGCAAAGCCAACCAAGACCCAAAATGAATCACCGCTGCGTTAGACGTTTACTGCAAAACACAGAATTGGAACAGCTTGTCCATTAAGTAGTTTCTCTCCAAGCAGGTACGTCAATCCGGCGTCCTGGATTGATTTCACAGATGCAACACTGGCGTCTTCGTCGGTGCCAGTCCAGTGTGCATCCCTGGCACCCCCTGCTTATGAATCAAAACTCAAAGCAAACACTCCAAAAGGAACCTTGTCATTCCAAAGGTTACACACACACACACACGCCTCCCTCGTAAAACTAAGGTTAAGGCAAATGTGCACGTGTGCGCGCGCGCGCGAGAGACAGAAGAATGAAGTCATGACAAGAGGACGGGACGGGGCAAAGGTGTATGTGGTTGTAATGAATGGGGAACCAAGTGCACAGGGACAAACAATGAAACCCACCCACCTCATTATAAAGACCTGGGCCACCTAAAACCTAGGTTTCAAGTACATGTTGTGCACGTACACGCTAAGGCCGGGACCAATGTGCGCGCAAACGAAAAGAAGGATGATGAAAGACATGAAGACAGGAGGACATGAAAGAAAAGAGGGGGACAGATGTGTGTGAAGGGGAAAAGGATGAAAAGGGAACCAAATGGAGGGAACGAAAACCAATGAAGCCAAACCTCATTAAAGAACCTAGGCAAGCCTCGTTGAACATGTACGTGCTGTGTGTACACCAAAGGTCCCAACAGACTCCAACGAGTCTTGAACAAGCTTCGGCCGCTGCGGCCACGTACGCCGTGCCAAAATGGCTGGCAGCTTTGACCGCTGTGGTCACGTAAAGGCATGAGCCAGCTTGCAATTCATACAATCGACCAAAAATCTGAGTTCTCTCGGCCTGGGGCCACCTACGCTCGCTGCGAGCTGCTTTGCGTCCGGGCAGGGGATACGTTCGACAAACACCCGTTCGACAGGTCCACAGGGGGCACTCTGCGGGCTCACCCTGGGCGCCACGAGGCCAGACACACTTATGATTTTGCCTACGGGACTGAAAGCGGTTGCCACACGCCAGCCCAAGTAAACCGCCTAAGGTTCCAGGTGGTAATTGGAAGTTTGAGGCCTCTAAAACCTTTAAATACGAGAGCGAGCGGCGGCGACAGGGTGACGACGGGTCGTGCAAGGCCAAAGATCCAAAATGAATCACCGCTGCACTAGACGTTTACTGCAACACACAGAATTGGAACAGCTTGTCCAGTAAGTAGTTTCTCTCCAAGCAGACTTCACAGATGCAACGCTGGCGTCTTCGTTGCTGCCAGTCCAGTGTGCATCCCTGGCACCCCCTGCTTATGAATCAAAACTCAAAGCAAACACTCCAAAAGGAACCTTGTGACTCCAAAGGTTACACACACACACACACTTCGAAGAGAGCTCAGAAGGGCACAAATTCAGGTGTTGCTTCTGCATTTGCACTCTTTTAGGCGGCCTGTCAAAAATACCTCAAAATGGCCCTGCGCAACCCGTAAGGCCGAATATCTATGCGCTTGAGTGAAGCACTGCTGTGCAGAACCGAAGTTGTAAAATGGTGCATTCAGGCCAGCATCCTGTTCCTTGCAGAGCATTTGTGCTATACTTGCTTTTGCACGGATGTCTGTGCCAGAGAGAAAAAGGGTCCCAATGAAAGCTGACTCCAGACATGTAGTGGAAACAAGCACTTGAACAATATTGCAAAATGGTCTGAAGAAGCTAAAGAGAGCAGGATTTGACTTCCTGAATGGGGATATTGTAAATGGGATCTTGGTAAGACAGCGAAGATTTCAGGTCACGAAGTGCATGTGTCAATGTCCCATGGATGGTGTTTGGTTCAAGCTGGGCTGGCATCTTGTCATCAAGAATTGGACATTTTTTTGGAAATCCAGGCTTTTTGGACGCCGTGAGGAAGGTGATGCAGGTGTTGAATTGTTTGGTGGCAGTTGTCGGTTTTGATATGCGGCAAAGTCGTCAATGTACCGTCGCTGAAACGACAAGATAGCCGTACACCTGCCTGGTGGTGATTGCGCTGACACGGCGTATCCACCCGCGAGGTGGTTCTTGCGTACCTGCGGAGATACACCTTTGTGCTCGCCGTCCCCCACCAGCTGTTTTGGGAAATTATTTTGCTCAAGGTGCTGTATTTGGCCCTGTATTTCAACTCGAACTGTATTCATTAGCCATTGAAACCCTCCAGTTCACCAGCTCCCAAGTATCCCAAAAGTCTGGCCGCACGACCGTACGGCGATGATTGGACGATCAGGACTGGGACAAACTGATGAAGAAGTACGAGGGTTCCTCCAACGTTCTGATCACCTAGAACTTGACGAACTTTGTTTTTTTTGTTTGGGCTGTTCCCGATCTCGGGATCCCGTGTCACCAGGCATCTCAATTGCAAGAGCCATCGTAAACCACTTTGGTTGGGCCATTCTTTCCAATCATGGCGGAGCCGCTTTTGTCCATGAGCTGCCAGACGACGTGGTCTATCGGAACTTCCTGCTGAGTCATGGCATTACAAGGCCTTGGGGGAAGGGTAACAAAGGCCGAGTGTGAATCAGTTTCTCAAAAATCTGTATATTTTGGGGTCTCCAAGTAGTGGGTGAGAACCAAAGCAGACATTGTCAAACTGTGTTTGTGTTGGCTGTTGCCATTCATTGATAGGTGTAGTTGGGTGATCCACATGCAGAGGTGAAGATGGGTTCCGTGGTTAGGCTGACAAGAACAGGACATCAGTTTTCACAAGGTGTCCGTTAGGCATCCTGCTTCGGAACATTCCAAGGACTTCGTTCAGATGAAACGTGTTTGTGAGTCAATGATTGATTTCCTAGCTGGTGAGTCGTGCTCCAAAGTCTGCTCTCCCGGCACAGGCTGGCAACCCAGGGCAGGCTCTTCATTGTGCCGTTGGTCTTAGCGCGGAAAAACGCCCGGTCGGCTCCTAGACTTTGTGGGGCGGGGAACTTTCCTGGTGGAGCCGGATTTCGTGGAATTCACAACCGAGACCCGTATGGGGGTCCCACCCCACCAACCTTTCTCGCCCACACTTTGTTCTGAGCGAAGAGCATTGCTCAGCTCTGCAATCTCATGCACTTGTCAAATCTGGCAGTTCGCGCATTCGTGGCGGTTCGCCATGGCGTCCCGCGTGAAACAACAGTGAGGCCGCGAAGAGGAAACTGGCATGTAGGGATGGAAAGCACCTGGTGCAGGGCCATAGCTATGGCCAGCCTCATAGAATTTTCGGAGAAACTCAAAGGTTCAGTTAAATTTAGTCATGGTGCATGCTGTTTCTCAAGCCGAGGTTTGCAAAGCCCCCCAGAAGTCACTATGGGTCGGTGTCAGGATGAATGACACCACACGGGCCTTTGCCGATGAGGATTCCATGGATACATGTGATGGAGGTTCTGGGGGACAATTGAAACACTAGCAGATGACCATCGGCTTGTAGATGATGAGCCAATCAGAGTTACAAGCCCACCAGTCCGGGAACTGTCAACTTTGGGAATCACTTGCTGCTCCCACAAGGCTCGTAGAAGGTTCGTGGCAGAAGGCCTCCCATGCAGGAGTGTTTTTTCGATGGGGATCCATGGATGTAAGAGATGTAAATCATCTCGATTGGTTCCTAGTGCGGGTAATCATGTTTGGGGGCATTGCCATTGCAGTTTTCCAACGGTTTGCTCCATTTTCCGAATTCGAAAAAAGCAACACATCGGCCACGGTTTTTCGCAGCTCAGGATATCGACAAGACCGAAGGTTTGATTTCGCATATCGACCGAAGGCTTGACAGACACGGTCTGCTTGACCACGGGAAGGGAAGGAATCCGATTTTTTTGGTCATTCACTGTTGCTTTGTGGTGATGCACCCGCCCTGAAAGAATTCTCACACAGTTTCAGACGCAGCTGTGGCATCAAGATGGGGGTCAACTTGATCGTGAACATGACGCATCTCCGCAATTTGGTTTGTTGGAACGGTGCTCCCTGCTGGCCCAGAGACCATAAATTACACAACCGTGTTTTTGTTCATATATGGGTCAATCTCTCTTCTTTATATCTATCTAGGACACGGAAGCTGGGACCGCTGTGACAGGTGTTCCTGTATACCAAAGATGCTCTTTCAGTGCGTTCATTTTCTGTGTTAGTCCCCAACCCCAATTGGAATGAGTCAAAAGTAACTGGCAGAGAACGACATCCATGACGTCGATTTCGTTTTGACGTCCAAAGAATAGGGGATCAAATGGTGTGGTGGGATGCAAACTACTGGAGCAGAAAGTGGTAGTTGTTGGGTTGTGACGACCTGATGCAGAATCTCCATGGTGGAGGTTTCTTGTAACTGTAGCAATCTATCGATGGGGGGAAACGTGCAGGGGACGATGTCTGCTGGTTTTTGATGAAATGATATAGTACTGTAATCAGTTTCCTTCAACCAAGCTGTCAGTGTGGATTGTGTGCGTGGGCCAAGAATAGATGGGTGCGTGAAGTTCTACCTTTCCTTTGTAAAGACTAGCGATTGCGATGGAGCAGGCATATCCTTGTGCTTCTGTCACACTCAAGGGATATTTATTTTGCAGACATTGTGAGAGACGCGTTGTTGTTTCAAAAATCAGAAAGACATGTTCCGCCCCCACTAGCAAACATAGAACCCCAAAGCACTGCTCCACAGACGAGTGTTTCTTTTCCAAGATCTTGGCAGACTCCCCAAACGGTCAGGTTCCAAGCCAGGGGAGATGCTTTAAAGATCTATATATATATACATATCTCAACTTATAGCTTTTATATAGCTCACAGATAGGTCCCCACACCTTGCAAAGGTAGCTGCTAATTCCTAAAGCCTAAATGACAGATCTCTAGGAAAGCAGATTTTCTCTCTGGAATCCTTTATCGATACGGGTCTTTGGGATGCGTATCGCCGAGGGATTCGTCACAGTGTTCACTTCATGGCGCACCAATCTTTCGCCTTTTATGGGCAAAGCAGACCTTGTCAAAGCCTTAACAGCGGCCTGTTGCGATTGAAAGTTGGGTGATCCACATGCAAGCATTAATTGTATCTTTGATCCGGGATCCGACAAAAACAGGAGATCAGCTTTCACAAGGTGTCCATTAGGTGACCTGATTCAGAAAATTCTAAGGACTTCGTTCAGATGAAACGCGCGTGTGAGTGAGTTTGTGTGAGGCTCCAAGTGAGTTTGTGTTGGTAGACTTTGCGGGCCGTTGACAGAGCTCGGAAGACTTTTGGTGATGTGATAGAGAAAGATTTGATGTTTGCTCATCGAAACCGCGGACATGGGTGGATGGTACCAGACATGAATTGAAAAACCTCTTCGGGCTTGGGGGTTAATAACTCAAGAGTCTACACTATGATGACTCTTACTTTCTTCACCCCCACTGAATGAAGAAACGATCAGAAGCCGCGGTGGAATCATTGGCGGTTGTCAACAGCAAACGAATTTTCCTGGTGGATCTCGATTTCGTGGAATTCAAAGTCCATTTCGAGACCCTTATGCGGTCCCTCCCCACCAATCATTCCAATGAAGCCAACAGTCTAATTTTCATCACCTAGGATTCCAGTCTAGTTTTCGTAACTTCTTTATGAACGGTCAGAAGTACTTTCAATTCTGGGTGCGCTGGCACATGTTTGCAAACACCACATCCTCCAAACGCTTCGTTTTGTCGAGGCGGCTGGCCAAGTCTACAACAGGAGGCGTGAACGAAGAGCTTCTGGAAAGAAAGGACCTGGTGATGTATGTGAAATTCACATTTTTGCAGTCAGTCAATCAACCAAACATCTATCTATTTTTGTCCATTGTCCATTGATTCACCCATTCAACGTATCCTGTAGTATACTGTAGATATGCCTCAGAATATGTTGAGACCCCATCATTCAGCTTGAAGCCGCTTCAGGATGGCCCAGGTCAACCCAGGGTGGAATTGCAGCTTGAAATTCTCAATCACGGCATTTGCACCAAGCCTTGTTCCTCTGACAAAAGAAAGCATCGACGAATAAACATCATTTTTTGTCAGAGGGGCTTTCCCAATGGGTCTAGATCCAGCCACCGTCACCGTCACCCTTAAAAAGGGTGTAAAACATCACAAGGACTTTGTGTGAAAGAGAAGTTACGGAGGACCCTAGGAGCTCACCAGGTCTTGGTACTGGAGTCACAAAATAGGAAGAGCAGAGTGAAGAGCGGATAAAGGCAACGCAGAGCAGAAATTTCAATAGGGTTGGTTGTGGAAGGCAGGGGTGCACAAGACCCAGTCACTTAGGGTCTGACTTGAACCCCTTCATTCTCCAAATCCCAAGTGAATCAAAACGCGGAACTTCACGGTTTCGGCTAGTGGGGGAATCTCCCACTGTCACCTGGCATGTTCTTTTGCACCAACCATCGGAAACAACTCAGGCGCCATTCTTTCAGCAATTCTTTCTAATCATGGTATAACCATTCTTGTCGCTTGAACTGCCAGATGCTGAGCCGCGGCACTACAAGGCCCTGAGCCAAGGGCGGCAAGCGTAAATCAGCTGTTTAAAGTTTAGTCTCGGGGGCTCCAAGTGATAGGTGAAGATCAAAGCAAACCTTGTCCAAGCGTTTCTTGTTTTGCTATTTTATAGGTGTAGTTTGATGATCCCTATGCAGAAGTGAAGACGCACACATATAATCACATATATATATATATTACTCTCTTTGAGTATCCAGTCACTCGGGTTTA